TTGCAATGAGTGAAGGTTTTTCTGGGTTTACTGCAGATCAATGGAAGGCTTTCATCCTGGTGTATGCAACGTCGATTACTTGGAACTTACTATGTGAGAATGACTGACAAATTCTTACTTATTTTGTTCGTGCATGTTCTATTCTGGTATGCCAAATTGTGTCCAAGGATAGTTTAAAAGAGGCTCACCAATCTTTTCTTAAAATAGTAAAACTTATAGAAAAAAATATGGATCTAAAAAATAATGCCTAATTTACATCTATATTTACATATATGTGAATATGTTATGGACTACGGGCTATTGTATGCATTTTGGTGCTTCAGTTACAAAAGGATGAATGGCTTATTAGGTAAGTTAAATTTTATAACTATTATTATTATTTCCGGGCCACCCAAAGAATTTTTGGATGATTGAAATATCCTCTGTTTTATTCAGTAAATTAACTAGCTCTTATAAAATTACTTCGCTATCTTCCGACTCAGTCTGAAGATAGCGAAGTAATTTCATGAGAGCTAGTTAATTTACTGAATGAAACAGAGAATATTTCGATCATCCAAAAATTCTTCCTCAATAGTCATATTAACTAGCCGATAACTTAATAAAAATTATGATACATTTACAGGGTCATTTAACAGCAGTAATAGAAGGATTGAATCTGAACTTCTTAAAATTATGCAATATTGCGCTCTATTGGATGAGCTATCGTCACATGCCGAAGGCTATTTACAAGCTTGTTTACAGTTCATTGAGCAAAAAACAATGAATGGCAGTTTTGCTATTCATGATGAAAATGACTGCCAGGAGTTTCTCTCAATGTCTATAAATATTGAAGAAAAATCTGGCACAGGCTCTGAACCATTCCAGGTGAATTATTAGGACCAATAAAGGAACAGCAAAAACTTCCAAAAGAAATATCAGTATTGCTAATGAAGTATTATAATAATGCATATAATTATAACTTTATTTCTTTAGCTAAAATTAATATAGGTAATTTGAAAGCTATACCGGTATTACCCACTATAACTATTTACAGAAGGATAAAGATTAGTGATGAAGTTTTTGGGTCTACTTACTCAAAGAGACATAAAAGTTGGCTAAAATACTCACTAAGAAGACAATTCAACTGATATATATCCAGGCATTGTACAGTATTATTTTAAACACAAAATACAACTACCGGAAGGTCAAAAGGAGCATGTACTAGCATTTGTCAGATGATACCATGCTGTTAATGACCGAAAGACAAGATTTCATTGTCAAGTTGATGATATTTGTAATGTTAAATTATGGAATAAAGATTTTATAGTTTAAGTAGGGATTGTATAATTCTGGTGCACAATATTTTAGGTCGATTTATTTCGGGAACAGTTAAAGTCAGAAAAAAATCTCTAAGAGAATATATGTCAGTTATCTCTGTTAATAGAAAATTTCATATATAAAATTATAAAAAATATAATACCTTTTCCAATATTATTTCATAGCATTAAATTTATTGATGTTTATAAGTACAATATCAGGCAACTTTCGATTTAATGATAGAACTATCGGAAGACCTGATACTTTCCCAATATTGTATTATAACAATTAAATTTGTTGATGCTTATAAGTACTATATCAGGCAATTTTCGACTTAGCAATAGAACTATCGGTAGTTCCGATTTATTTCTGATTAATTTCTCTTATCTATAGCATAATTTTGTTTTATTTTGATCTTCTGATATGAATATCGTATTATTTGATATTTACCCGATTTAACTTTACTACTATCGGATTCATATCGGGATCCCGATATGAATTCGACATTTTACCAGCTATATATATCCCGATATAACTTCATTTGACCTGTGAATGCTTCAAAGAAAATCTCGTCATTTGCCAAACCACAAGCACCAGCACCAGCACATATTAATGTTTCAAACAAGACCTCATCGTTTAATGAATCGCAAGTTTCTTATGATAAGAATGATGATAATATCAACGCCACTACGTACATAAGGAATTATTACAATATTACAGCAGAACATGTTCATATTAATTAAATAATATTCATAAAGTTATCTGGTTAATAACATTTGTAAATAAAGTACTTCAAGTTGAAATACGTATTTCATATACGTATCAAAAATTTCATTAGCGTTAGTCAATAAATTTCGATGTGCAAAATGATTAGTGTTGGCAAATAAAGTTAATGATGTGCAAAATAACTAATTTATTTTGGTAGCCCGATCATAGTCATCTGATGGATAATACCTTTTATCTTAAATTATATGTTAGGTAATTTATCAATTTTCAAAAAAACTCGGGTTAGGTAATTTATCCATTTTCAAAAAAACTCGGGTTAGATTAGTATATTTTTAATTCATATTAAATAAATATTTATAAAAAAATGAATTAGAATTCTAACGCGATCAAGAAAAATTTATTTGGCATGATTTTATAGCACCAATTAGCATCAATAAATGGAAAACTATAAATTTGACAGAGGATGGTGCAATTTTGATAATGGATCTCATGTCCATTTTGAGGTAGTCATAAATTGTTGTACTGTATATATATATATATTTTTTTGTAAATGTACTTTACGATTTAACTAAAGAACGAATAGCTTGATCAAAAGATTGACTTAGATATTAACAAAATGCGATCTGGATATGCATCTAAATACCAGTAAATTTATAGAATAATTATCGTAAATGATCGGTTTTATATCTCCACACCATAACGTGAAAACTGAACTCAGACAAATCTAGCTATAAAAGGTTAAACGAAAAATACGCATTCACACCCACATTGTGTTCAATAAATTATCCAATAAACGATAAGATTTTGTGGAGCAACGCCATTAAATTGCCGTATAACCATACACTCCGTGATATTCATCACTCCATTCCTGGTATAAACTAATTTTGACCATATAGGGTTTTTTATATGAAACTTTACGGTATTACATAAAACTAGGGATTGGAACCGTTTAACCGTTTAAAAGTTGCTACATAGTTCCGGCGATGTTGATCATGAGCTGGAATTATTTTAATGCCGGCCAAATTAAACGATTAAACGATTAAACGATTAAACGATTAGACGATTAAACGACTAAGAAAAATTTTAGGCGGTTCCAATCCCTACATAAAACATACTTAATATAAATTTAGGAATTCTTGTTTGCTAAAAAAAATACTACATTTAGCATTAGATGAAGTTATTCAAACCGCGATGCATTTAATCAACTGAATATCATTGAACTGCAAAAATCAATTTATATGAATAATTTGAGTGGATGTTCTAGTTTGATTATTGTAGCGAATATGGGATTAGGGTCGAAAAGAATAGGGATAAAACATTTACTCATTATCAAAAGTCTGCGGAAGTGCACCGGGCAGGTAAGGTTCGAGTTATGGCTAATGTTGGATTTGAACATATATACTTTTGGTTTTAACGAAACAAAAAGTCTACTGAATATGGACATAAGTCGGAAAATTATGGAAAACGGCTTAGGGATATTATTATGGATCTTTAATTGATGAATTTGAAGTATTTCAAGTCTTGAAAAGCTAATTTTAAAATTTAAACTTGTAATTATAAATACAGTGAATCTTCATAAAATATAAGTTCGTATTTATGTTGTAAGTGGAAACGGAATTTAAATGGATTCGGAATTTATATATAAAACCCCCGTTTTGATTCTAATCATTTTTAAAGGCAATTGGATATTCCAAATACTTAAAAAAACTGCAGTCGACTCTGGGTATAACGAACCTTCCTATAACGAACTCTAGATATAATTGAATTCGAAATTTTGAAAGTTCATTATAGTTCGGTATAAAAAGTGGCATTGAGTTCTTAAGAAAACATATTAATTTTATATAACGAACTTTTTTTTCGTTTGTACTGTATTTTTGTTCAAGTCGCATGAATTTTTGGTGCTCGTTATATTTGTCACGTGATGGTTGATTTTTTTTTTGGGGATTTACCCGGTCGTAATTTACCAGTAGCTTACCCGATGCTAAGTTTTACATTTACAACCCTGCTCATAACTTTTGGTTAAATTTGAAGAATCTGGTCAAATGATCTGCAAATTTGCCCAGAATTATATGTAATCGATTTTACTAAGTGGATTACAATCAAATCAGAATAATAAACATATCTCAATCCAACACCGAGATTTAGCTTTCAATCAGAACCTATATATTAAAAGAATTTGAGCATACTTAGATAACGAATATAATAATGAATACAACCTTTTAGTGACTTGATAAACAACGCACGAAAAGTCTGGCATCAAATCAAAACAGTGGCATTGATCGATTACTAAAAATTATTACCAATGAGTTTTTTTCTATCCTATTGATACTATGCTATACTAAATCAGTGCATACTTTTCATTGTTGTGAAAAATGTTATTTAGATGCAAATACGATATATTATCCGACATTTCATATGATCATGTGATATTTTTTACATGAATTACGTAATCAGTTTTGCAAAAATATCACATAAAAAACTTCACATGGTCATAATAATTATCGGATAACATCATTATTGAACATACGTACGACAAATAACAGTCAATTTTTTGTCGTCTGTCCAATAATGTACACTTAAATAATTTATATCGTGCAGGTAAATTGAAGCTATTAGGTATAGCGCATTATATAAGTTAAAAATTATAGCAAATATCATCGCAAAACTTTGACCATGGATTTGAAATTTCACGGAAATATATTTAATATTAAAGTATAAACATAATATAGAATATATGTTTAATAATATATTCTAATTTAGTGTAAATTATTTATTTGATCATGAGCTTCACAAGAAACAGGTGAACATATATAATAAATCATGATTTACAATGATTTACATATGGCGTATTATGTTTGTAATGGTTAAGGACTATTAAAGAAGCAAATTAATGATGTATTAAAGCAAATAGATTATGTATTATAAAATTGAACAAAAAATGTTTAAATATAATGCGTAATTTAAAACAGATCTAATATTTATGTAGAATCATTACAGCCAGTACATATAATCGATTTGTTATCCTTGGTAAGCTCACAGGCTTCGCAAGTACCACATATGGTTTTATCAATGCCTTGACAAGTTAAAGAAAAATCCACTAGTTTTGCAAGGCAATCCCCGCTAACATTTGGTCCAAGTGTGCAAGTAACTTGATAGTCCCCGGCCGAAGGAATAGTACAAGTTTCAATTATATTAGCACATCGAGAAGAGAATAAAAGTTTATTGAAATTGACAGTAGGTGTACAGGTAAAGGCTACATTTTTAGAACATTGATCAAGTTGTCTGGCGATTAATGGAGATGTTAAAACGACCTCCGAGAAAAATCCGAGAATGAATAGTTGCAATAAAAAAGTGTGTTTCATCTAAAAAAAAACGTTTGGAATAATGAGATCAATAAATAAATAAATAAATAAATAAAAATGAAAAAAAAATATACACACCTTTAGATATAACTTTGCGCGTCAAAATTTTTTTGTTGAAGGGAAATGAGGAATATGGAAGATATTTATAATAATCACGATTCAAAGAAACTTGAATACCTTTTAAACAAAGGTAAGTATGTACACACTTTAAAGAACGTATAATATTTTTATCACCTCGGATTAATAAATGTTGTGTAAACATGAATTTTAAAAAAATAATATGGCATATTCATTTGTGCATGCACTTTGTTCAAATTAATTAAATTTATTAAATTTACGTAACGCTAAGGAACTTTTTTAGTCTATAAGCCCTACTGTGCATAAATCTGGTATGTACGCATTGTTAAAGAACAAAGAATATTTTCGTTCTTTGGATGAATAAGTTCAATAATATTGTATACAAATGTGCGCGCTGCATGCATATTTTGTTTTTTCAAATTATTTGAATTTATGCAAGAAGGTTATTTAAGCTTATAAGCATTTACTGTATCTAAAATATAGTCAGAACTCTCTAAATGCACTACAATGGATCAACTTGCATTTAGAGCTGTATTTAGGTTGACTGTAATAGCCAAAGTTAACCAAATTAAATTTGGCATTATTAGTTTTTTAATAAATGTTTAAAAATTTTATTAATGTTTTATTTTTTATTAATTATACAGTATAATCAACTATAAACATTAAATTCCAGAATGTACGGATTGGTTAACTACTAAAAATTTATGGATTACAGTAACGGTAATACTAACGCTAAAAACTTATGATCCAATTTTGGTCAGTATGTATTAAAATGGACTGAAATGGTGTGTAAAATCTAAGATAAATCATTGTTATTGGCGAACCAATAGAAAGAAACTGAAATGGTATGTATGTAAATCAAAGATAAATCCTTGTTATTAGCAAATCAATAAAATGATATCGATATGGATATAGTTTCCAAAAAGAGTCATGACAATAAATCATTGTTATTAGCGAACCAATAAAAAATATCGACACGGTTTTATCTCCAAAAAGGAAACAAAAAGAAAAACCAAAAATGGAAATTTCAGTCGCACATTTTGTGCTTACGTAATAAAAACGTAACATTTTTAACGTTTGCAGTTCTATGGTTCTACCGTCAAGTAATTAGCAAATTACATGATGCAAATAATAATTGCAGATTTTTATTGATCAACTAAAACGTAATTATGAAGGCGAATCCGTCGCTCATAGAGCCTAAGGATGCCTTTTTAATATTTGCATTGGTGGCATGAAAATTTGATTAGCGATGATGAGTATGAATGCGAATTTTGTGTTTCGAATAAACAGGCACTATCCTAGACTGGTTTGTTATATATGAGAAGAAAAAAATAGAATGATTAAAATATTAAACATATAATTTTACATATATACTGTAAAGAAAATATTTTTAGCCGATCGTTACCTATTTTAACTTAGATCTCTAACTTCACGTATATCAAGAAGCATTGAGGAGGTTTTGTTATTTTGATGTATTCAGAAAGTAGTATCAAATATTAGACTTGAATGATTTCATAGGAAGTCTGTAGCATGTGTCAGTACAATTAATATGAAACAAGAACGGGATATACTTTTAGGAATAATATTGGTCTCCTATATTGTATATGGCAGATCGCTTTGATATAAAAATTTAAGTTACCACAAAATGTCATTATTGGGTGCCTTTATGTAAGAAAAATCCCAGACTGAAATTTGTAAAAAAACGTAAATAACATAAAAATTATTGATGACTAACTTCCGTTCTTCAAGTAAAAATCTTCAGCATGAAATTTTAGTTATAAAACGCGATTTTTAATGTTAAATATATAGGCCGGTAGTTCTAGATTTCTTGACATAAGGATACTCGTCAGGATTCTACATAGATTCTTCATGAGTTTTGCGTGAGATAGGTGCGAATTCCACTTTTTGTGGCGCTGGGTGCTGGGTTATTTGCAATGCTTGAACTCAACCAAAATTAGCGATTGTTTATTTTCTAAATCACGCAGTTAATTAATTTTATTTGACTTCATGTACTTTCTTACAGTGTACTAGATCATTTGCAGACTCAATAAGAATTAATGGCTGTACTTCTGGGTCTACCAGATTGTTTTCCTTGCTTATCCTATGATTTAGTAGGAGTTTTGTTTGTATAATAGAAGATTATTGCTTTATTTAATTAGCATATAATA